CTCCACAATTATAGGGCGGAACTATTTAATTAAATATCAAATTAGAGTCCAACTCTAATTTCAAAATTTAAGACGGTTGAATTTAATTAAAATCAAATCTTAATTAAATAATAAAATTAGAGTCCAACTCTAATTACAAGATTTAGGGCGAATTTATTTAATTAAAATCAATTTTTAGTTAAATACCAAATTAGAGTTTAACTTTAATATCAAGAAAATTTTTAGAGCAAGACAATTTAATTAAAATCAAATTTTAATTAAATATCAAATTAAAATCTAATTCAAATTTCAAGAACAATTTCAACGCAAAAGGGTTTCCACTTTAATTTAATACGACTTTTTTAAAACTTCTGACAATTATGACAAACCCACATGGATTTGGCATTTCTTGCACATTTCTTGGATCCATACCGTGATTAACGTAATTCATTATCGTTGAATAATTGCGCAAAACACCAAATTGGAAGGATTCATCTTTGATTTCTACCAAAGGTAAAGTTTAAATTAGGGATAATTATAGCAAAAGTCCTAAACCCTTGAAACATTAGTAGACATTCCTCAAATATTTGATTTGTTGAATCAATCACCCCTAACCTTTTCAATATTGCAGGTAAGACCATTTTGTACAATTTTCATTCAAGATATTATCAGTTAACCACTAAAATAAAAAACTAACCACTTTCTATCAAAATAGACAAGGGCAAAATGATAACTTTATATTTTATTTCATAAAATAAAATAAACTAAATTTCACTTACTTCTCCCATCCCCCACCCACCTCAATCCAACCCAACCAAAACCCAGACAAAATTTAAACCCATACCACCTATCACCGCCCGTGCCCTCCATCTCACCCACCGTCACCACAAGAATTGCATTGCCATTGCCACTGGTTGATCGCTTGCCCACACACCTCACCACAACGACCACCTAACACCGCCACAAAACACACTCCAAATTGCTTACCGAGTAAAAAATCGAAAAAAAAATAATTTCTGATTTAATGTCACTGCCAAATCTGATACAATTTAGGGAAAGAAATTGCCTAGAAAATACAGAGATGAAATTGCATAGAAAAAAATTTAATATCACCATCGATCAAAAATCAAACGATGCCAAAAAATTGCCTAGAAAATACAATCTGAAATTTGATTTTTTTTATATTTTAATTATTTTATGAAATAAAATATAAAGTTACATTATTATCCTCGTCTATTATTTATTTATTTTTTTTAATTTTGGTGGTCAACTAGCGACATCTTTGATGGAAACCATCCAAAAGTATTTCGCCTACAATGTTTGAAAATGTTAGGGGTGACTGCTTCAACAAATAAAATGTTAGTGTTTCAAGAGGTTTGATACTTTTGCTACAATTATCCCTTTAAATTATATTGGACCGTACTTTAATTAATTTGCTACCATGGTTGTTAGCATTGCATACAAGCACCATAATCTAGTTTTAATCTAAAAAAATCTCTTCCATATATTAAATGATTTATTTAATTTTTTGTTACAGTTTTTGAAAACCCTTTTCCTATATCAAAATATTTAGCTTTCTACTTAAAGAAAAAGGACAATGTCTCGAGTTTTTGAGATATAATTAATAAAACTTATTGAGGTTTGACACTATGTTAGCATGCATACATCCAAACAGTGTAAGCTCTTGTTTGATAAAATTTCAATTGAAATGAACAATTAATTTTTACCACTTATTTTATGAGATCTGCAACTTTTTAATGGCGCATTTAATCAATTTTATCAAAATCTACTAAAAGTTTGATTTTCATACTCAACCAATAGGGCTAAAATTATTACTACACAAAGGAACAAATTTCGTTATTTTAGATTAATAGTGAAATGTTCACAAGTTTCATAGTTTTTCAAAGGAGCTGCAAATATTCAACGTTAGCGTTCTTTTCTTTGACCCATAACGCCCGACAAACAACAACTAATACCCATATATAAAGGATTTTTCTTCGCCTTCAATCCTCCATTATTAAGGGCCTAAAGATTTCATATTGTAGGGTCTCTTGTAACAAAATGGGCAACAGTTTGGGAGGAAAAAAGAGAGCAAAGGTAATGAAAATCAATGGTGAAATGATCAAATTCAAGACACCAGTGAATGTTGGTGAGATAACGAAGGACTATCCGGGTTACGTTCTTTTAGAGTCCGAAGCTGTAAAGCATTTCGGTATTCGAGCAAAGCCACTGGAGCCGCAACAAGAGCTGAAGCCGAAGAGGCTGTATTTTCTAGTAGAGTTGCCAGAATTCCCACAAGAAAAGGGTGCGAGGAGAGTTAGATCCGGCATTCATATGAGTGCCAAGGACCGGCTCGAAAGCCTAATGTTGGCGAAAAGATCGGTTTCGGATCTCTCGATCATGAAACCATCCAGCATTGCGTTTGAGGAGTCGGTTAGAAGTTCGGAAGAAAATGGTGCAATGAGGCTTAAGATGAGACTTCCCAAGGCCCAAGTAGAGAAGTTGATGATGGATGGCAGAAACGGCGCTGAGATTGCCGAGAAGATGGTCAATCTTTACATGGTCAACAAAGTGGATGGCACCGGCGCCGGCAGCGGTACAGCGGAACCTAAAAAGTTCCAAAAGAATCCAATATTGAAGCAACATGTGCAATGGAAGAATGATGACGGAATCGTTAAAAATGGTCTCAAATCGCGCGAGGTATGTTTTTCATAGGACACGATCCTATTTTCATGCCATGTTCATGGGCTTAGACAATTTTTTCGTGGGTTTGTTTATTAAAATACATAGCCACCGATTACTTGAATTGAAAAGGTTAAAAAACTTCAATCGACATTTGTTGTCTTCATTTCACTGTTTTTCATTTAAAGTTTGACACTTTACTAAATAAATCTAAATAGTCAATAATAAGATGTCATATCAAATACGATGTTACTTCTATTCCGCGTGACATCTTGTTACTGTCTATACAAAGTTGATGTAACGAAGTGTCAGAATTTGAGTGAGATTTAGTCAAATGAGGACAAAAATCTCAAATCGACCAAGTATTTCAAATACCTTAGACCATTTTAGATTCATCTCCTTGCAAAATTCAGACAATTTTACACTTAAATTCATATTTTAATTCAACTATCTAAGCCACTCCTATCGAATCACTTGGATTCGGACAATTCTTGAAAATATTTAACATTTAATATAGAATAATTTAGTTGTTAATTTGGTTACTGAGCTACTGTGATGAACAATAATTATATTCTATATCTTAATTTTCTATGTTAATTTGTACAATTCTGCGTCACCTTTCTTGGTGTGGTAAACATATCTTTTAAGAATCTTTTTCTCTTAGACAATTAAGTCCATATTTGATTTGGTTAAAAATTATTTTTTTAGTAAATTTTGATAAAATATGTAGTTAAGAAGCTATAAAAATTATGTATCTTATATAATGTGTGATTGAAAACGAATTTAGAAAAAAAAAAAGAAAAAAAAAGAAAAGGAATTTCACAAAATTGGGATCAAACATGGGTGTTTGTGTTACACTCGAATTATCAAACATTTTTCTTGTACGTATTGTGAAATCACTTAATAGTTAGAAATAGCAAAGCCACTGAAATTTATTCGTATGGTTGCAAGTAGGTAACTGAACTTTATTTTAGTGCAACCAAATCATATACTTCAATATAGAAACAATAAGATCACTCAATTAGTTTCTTGTGACTCCGAATAACAGCATAGATGGCATGTACATTAAAACTAAATCACATATTTTATGGATCCCACAATTTTTCAATTAAACATTTCATCAACTTTTAGTAAAATCTATAAAAAATATGATTTTATATGATTAAATACAAAAAATCTAATTTTCTCTCTTTTTCTTCTTTTCTTGTTTTTGAAAAGCCTTTATGTAATTGCTAAGAAAACAAGAATGCTAAAAAAACAAGGAATTCTATAGACCAGCCATCTTTCAAAATTTTTTTGTTTACCTTTTCTTTATGGTACAAGACAAGAGAAAGTTAGGCAGTTATTTTTGACCACTAAATCTGCCTTCAAACCTATCAAACTGTCTCCCTAAATGTATTTAATATGCGCTCCATACAATATCACAAAATTCAACAAGTATGATCTAATTCAAGAACAAGAATTAGAAATTTAAAAAAGCAAAGAAGAGTATTTAGTTTATTTTTTTCAATAATTAATACGTTTCAATTGGATTATTCAGAAATTTTCAGTTGTTTAATTTATTTATATATTTTTGCTCATATACTTGCAGAAGCATGTAGGATTCTTGCCTGTCAGAGAAGGAGAGATCCAACTAGCTACTGCCTAACAACCCGGAAAATTCACTTTGAAAAGTCTATTTTATTTATAAAGTGAAATCTCTTGTAATGACTTCAAGATAAAGTATATTGACTTTCAAAATTCTAGATACATCGAAGTTATGAGAAAAATGCTTTTGATATAGAAGTTTGCTCATGCAAGGAAGGCTATTAAGAAGCTGAGAGTTATAGTAGGTTTCTTAGATCTGTTTTCTTTTTTTATTTTTTTTTTATTTTTTATGTGTAATTGTATTTGCCACAACCGATCCTTGAGATCAGGCTGTCAATCTTATTTAATAAATGGGATCGAGTTGGTTTATAAAATATTCGACTTTCAAGAGGAGAAAATAGCAAGCATTTATCAAGTATTCAAATTCAAATTCAATGACTATTGTTGTTTCAAAATTAATGCAATGAACAAACTTGAGAAATCAATATGGCCTTGATATAATAGATTTAGTCCCTTTCAAAGGAGTTGAAGTTCTATTGGGATATGAAAGTTGCTAATTTCTATTAGCCTCGTTGCCGGCGATATGCAATTTTAAACCTTGATTGATCCATGTGAAGATGCATATAAATCAGAACTTAAAAAATAAGTAAATAAATAAAGAAGAAAGAAGAAGAATGCTTTACAAGGAAAATGACATCAATTAGCTTCACAGGTTCAAGTTCCAATTCCGGGTAAGCAGGTCAAGCTTGAAAATGTTAACAGTTGTCTGTGTGGATGATAATTGTAAGTGGATGCTACGTGCTTCTACTGTCAAGCAATCTGCAATCTTCATGATCCGTAAGTTCGTTGCAGTTCACACATGTTCCCTTGATTTTCGTCGTAATGCACATTGGCATGCCACTAGTGCTGTAATTGCGGAGCACATTTTGGGAAAATTGGATACTCCATACCGATCATATCCGCCTACTCATATTGCACGTGATATGGAACATGAGTTTGGTGTGAAAATCAGTTATAGCAAAGCACGTAGGGGGAAGCTCCATACCTTAAATATGCTACATGGTACACCAAGGGACAGTTTTAGAAATTATCTTCGTACTGTCACGTCGTAGGAGAAAGTAACCCGGGGACCGTTACCCACATCGAAGTTGATTCTTGTAATAGGTTTCGTTACTTCTTCGTAGCTTTTGGTGCAAGCATTCATGGATACATGCAGTACTTGAGACCCGTTATTTGTGTTGATGGTAGTCACTTGAAATGTCCATACAAAGGTACACTCCTAGTGGCAACTGCCCAAAATGGTAACAAACAGATTTATCCATTGGCATGGGGGATCGTGGATACTGAAACCAATAAATCGTGGAAGTGGTTTTTGTCGAACTTGAAAGACCTTATAGGGGATTCCGAAGAACTCGTGTTCGTTTCAGACAGGAAAAGTGGATACATGCAGTACTTGAGACCCGTTATTTGTGTTGATGGTAGTCACTTGAAATGTCCATACAAAGGTACACTCCTAGTGGCAACTGCCCAAAATGGTAACAAACAGATTTATCCATTGGCATGGGGGATCGTGGATACTGAAACCAATAAATCGTGGAAGTGGTTTTTGTCGAACTTGAAAGACCTTATAGGGGATTCCGAAGAACTCGTGTTCGTTTCAGACAGGAAAAAGAGTATTCAGAAAGCTATTTCTCAGTTATTTTCATCGTCTCGGCATGGTTGTTGTATATGACATATGGAAAAGAACCTAATACAGCGGTATAACAACGCAAGCCTATTATTTCTATTCAAACGAGCTGCTACAACTTTTCGGGTCGAGGACTTCGAACGACTCATGGGACAGATTCGTAGAGTGAACGAAAGAGCGCACGGGTACTTAGAGCGAGCGGGATATTCATTTTGGTCCAGAGCACTATTTATTGGACACTGTTACAATATTATGACAAACAACAATGCAGAGTCGTTGAACTCGAGTCGTTACCGATAACCTGCTTGGTTGAACACATTCGGAGTACTATGTAGAAGTGGTTTTATAAACGTCGAGCAAATGCGGAAGAATGCAGTACCTTATTGACACCAAGGATGGAGAACGAGCTACGGACGACTTTCGAAAATGGAACTAGGCTTCGAGCCCATGTCCTGACAAACAACTTGACGCAGGTTGGAATATCCAACGACACGGACATAGTTGACTTGTCCGAAGAAACCTGCACATGTCTTGACTTCCAACTAAACCGTATGCCATGTGTTCATGCAAGTCGTGCTGCTTGCTTTAGAGGGAAGACGTTGTATGAGCTTTGCTCCCGTTATTATTCATCGGACTACTGGAAGGGTGCCTACAGCGAAACTATATATCCTGTTCCAAGGGAAGTGGATTGGGTTGTTCCGAGCTTAATTACATGTACTCTATTTTCCCACCACTCGTACGTCGTCCTCCAGGTAGACCACCAACCCCCCGTAAGCGTTCTAGGTATGAGTATGCATGGTCTACCAGAAAATGTACCCGCTTTGGTAGAGTTGGTCATAATCGGACCACGTGTTCAAACCCCCGTGTATCACATGCTCCTTAAAGATTTGCAGGTTAATAGACGTTGTATGTTAATTATTCCGTACTACATCGAACATTATGAAGTTATGATTTACAGTTTGTGATCATTAATGTTCTTGCATGTTACGCATCCTGTTGTGCACATAAAAATTTCACTCTCTGTCCAGTACGTAGTAAACGTCCCGCCCAGTTCAAATGTCGGTCCTGATAGATGTGTTACTTATTCTCGACAGTTGACGGAACCTTGCACTGCACTCACGGTCTGCGTCACACATACATGTTGTGACCTCTAAACACGAGAACGGAAAATGTTTGATACTGTACATATATTTTTTTTTCCATTTCGAAACGCAATCTTCTATCCCCCTACAGATTTACTATCATTAGCATCATCTTAAATCGAAATTAAAGGTAGTGTAAAATGCAATCTTGAATCCCGAAGAAATGTACAATCATTTGCGTCATCGTAAATCATGGATTAAAGTTAGTCCATGATACACACCTTTCACAATAGCCGTTTTACATACTGCAAAATACATACCCATTTTTGTACATATTATCCTTACTACCCGACAGTTGACATGTCGTACCCGACAGATAGTCTCAGTAATTCTCGACAGTTCGATCGGAAAACGCAAAAAACATGACACGAATTGCATCTTAGGGACATGTTCACATGGACTTTTTGGTATTGTCTTAACTAAAGTCATCCCTATAAAATACCTTACTATAAGTACTTATTCACTACATTCCATGGGTGTCACTTTAGTCGTCGTCCACAACTGAACCACCGTCCCCGCTATCCTCACCTGACTCATTGGAAGAGATGATAATTACCGCATTTGGGGGATCGTACGCCATCCAGTCGTCCTCATCGTCGGAATCCCCCTCGTATCCGACATCTAGCTCGAACTCCTCATTGAGGACTCCATTCGGTGATTGCTCACCCTCGTTGGAAACAACTTCTAAGTTGGGAAAAGGAACAGGGGAAATGGCTCCCCTCCCAATACGAGGGTTAACTTCCTCCTCATCTGACGAAATATAAATTGAAAAAAGTGGAGATGAACCAAGAACTGGCAGTGGCTCGTTCATGTTCAACGGTTCGTTGCTTCCTGTGGAAAAACTCATTACGTGAACGTATAGTAGTACTGAAGGAATGATAAGTGTCTGTGAGAAGGTGAATTGGTGACAATGGCCTTGAAGGAACTTGTTTGTAAGTGAGAATGAAGTCCCACAGTATTTATAAGCTAATTGAAGGGGAAACAATTATGGTTTCCATCTACCCAACCACCAAGTCCAATCTCCTTATAAATTTGAAATGCACTTGGTGTGATGGTTGAATAAATGAAGTGTACCTTTATCCCCCATTTCCCCATACTTAGTACAATGTTAAACACAATCATGTGCACAATTAAGGAAATGTCCATATTTGCAACAAAAAACTGCTCAATCAAATTGCTGCTTTTAATTTGTCATGGTTGTAATGGTATAGTTTCTCACACGTATGGGTCATCATCGCAACACACATGGAAGACGAACAACGAAATAATTATTTTTACTCAATTCATTGATTTATGAATTATTTTTACCGTGGTTGTCATGCTCTTGACACTTGTAACGACTCATCTTCTTGTTGCATCTCATGTATGTGCCTTAATGCCTTACTTTGAGAATTTATCATAATAATATCGTCCCAGATTAAAGCTATAGTGAAGACTAGATATAATTAGAACAACAGATAAGTACATATATAAGCACGCAACGAAAAATATGCGCACATACCTGCACATGTATTTAAAGCATATTATGACAGTGTTTACATCATATTATGTCCACTACATAAATTTATCAAATATAACATTCACCATTTAACATAAGCAACACAGGTGTGAGAAGCATAACACAAATTAGAAAATCTTAAAGACTCGAAGTATATTACTATATCTATAATAAGATTGGATCGAATATCAACAATATCAACAAAACAGTACTTACAAAGCATTTTGGGAAATTGACATGTTGCATATGCTTGTTCCCCTCCTCCAAAAGAAAATAAGCGTACACAATATGTCCAACAAAAACATATACCGAATAACAAAATGAACCTGACTGATACAATCAACAAAGTTAAAATACCAGACACAATTCATAAATACTACAACTACCGATCAGCCAAGCAACATAAAATATGAGGAATCTGTCCACGTATCACCACAGTACAGAAGAGTAATTAAAATGTAATGTAAAATGAATTCAAACAAAAGTTATTTATCCAACGAGTTAACATCCGTCACCACCTCCACCAAATCGCTGACAGGGTATTACCAACTACAACACCACCGTCGTGCTGTCCCGACAGTTCATACTCCTTTTACTTCTTTGTTCGCTTCGCCGCCCTTGTATACGGAGTCCTGGCCGCAGGAGCCGGACGTCGTACCCGTGTCGAGCGCCGACTCGTCGTAGGAACTCCGTGTCCTGGTTCGGCTACACTGGCGGGAATAGGGACTTTAGCGAGATCGCCTACGAGAATTCAAAAGGAGGGGGGAGTTAGTGACCATAAATGCCCTTCACGTACCATATGTAACATACAATAAGTGATGCAGAGAATGAACTTACCATCACCATCCGTAACATCGCAACCCTGTAAGTCGGCATCGTTGCTCGGGGCCGCATGTGAGGGCTCCATGGCTCCTCCATCTGATATTACAACACATATGTAATTGCATATGTGTTCGATGTTTGCAGTTGGAAGATAATGGAAGCGTACAGGAAGAAAGAAAATGAGAAAAATAATTCCCATGTTATCGTTCAAATCCGGGACGGCAAAGATCGGCTCGATCTGTCCTCCACCTAATTGGACACCACAATCACACCACAGGAATATGTTATTGCATTTTCATGAAGTCAGAACGGAAGTAGATGCCATCGAATATAGTAGGAAAAAATCGTAGCACATGACAACGTACCTACCTGTTCGTCGGTTGCTACGGGCAGTGGGTCATGTACGTTGTCCGGGCGAGCCGCGATGCCTCCTCCATCTGTTGATGAGAACATGAAAACTGTGTGAATATATTAGGTTTCCCAACTTTCACAACATACAAAGTCCATCAAATAACAAGTTTCAATGCGCTCATAAATAACCCACGTACCTTGTACATGTGCAGTTCCTGTATCTGCTTGCATGTCTTGCTCATCCGGGAAAGGCTCCATTTCTCCTCCATGTATGTCTAACTCGCAATTGTTGTATGGAAAAAAATGTGAGCTACAGGTCCATGTGCTACTGTCGAACATAGGTGAAAAATATAAACCAAACGCTTTATGTATTGAACATTCATACTTGCGGAATACTACTTGAAACTCCAGCCTCGGTATCGACAGGCATCGTGGCTGCATCGGGGGTCGGAGCAGGTGGGGCCACGAGGGTAGCAAAGAAAGCTCCGAGTTTTTTACATTCGGATGTCGTGTGCTGTTCGATTTCAAGCTTGACAGTGCGGAGTCGCATTTCAAAGAGAATTCTTTGGTCAAACAACAGCTCTTCCACCTCCTCTTTGGTGACGCCTGATCCAGATGTGCCAACTGGCAGTGTCTCCATCGTCGGCCCTCGCACTGGAAAAGAAACGTGGGTCGCTGGAGGTGTGGAAGACGCACCGGTCTGCCCTCTACAAGTATCCGCACCGACGTTGGATCGCTCATTGGCGCCCTTGCCACTCTCTTCGGTATCGGCACCTTCATCTCCAGACGTCTCATCCTCACCACTTCCTCCACTGGAGACTCCGTCATCGGATTCTTGCCTCACCAACTAGCCGCCACTTCCACTACCTTCGTGTGATGCATTAAACTGCGGCCCCACAACATTCCTGGCAATCTCATCCAGCACAGGCACTGGAGGATCATCGTACGACACGAGAGTGGAGAAATACTGATGTTCCGCCTCAGCATCGGTGGGACGAAGTGTGGCATAGACATGCAACTGAAATGTACGGTTATACATTAGAAACGAAAAGCTTCAGGAATGACACGAAACGTGAATAACAAAAGTGACACGTGGTATCCATACCCGCACGTTCTTGAAGAATGCATCGTACGTACAATGCTGTGGTTGTTTTCGTGCGGACCACCTAAGCAATAGTGGCATTCGTTCCCCAACTCTCTGACCAAAACATTCCCCAATCTCGGGAACTGCC